TGGTGTTTGTGTGTGTATGGGGGGCCAGGTCGTGCTGTGGCGCGCGCAGGCATGGTCAGTCGACCATGTCAGCCACCGCGCCCATTCCCCACTCCAGTCTACTGACCGGCTCGGACAGTGGCTGGGGTGTGGGAATGGGAACGGAGAGTGAGGTCGACGACTCAGCGCACTTTCTCCTCACTATAAACAATCTGACGCGCTTGAAGCTATCACGGTGCGCTAAAAGCCGTGGCTTGGAAGGTTGCCAACTGACGGGGTACCTTGGACCTCCTCCTTCACTGGAGGCGATCTGAGAGTCAGGCTGCAATGGCTCCTTTTTAATGTGGCCTTTATGGCATTCCCACCACAGTGTGGGATCCGAGCCAGGCGTTGGCGGCACGCCCAGGTGCGGCTTCGGCCGTGCCAGCCTCCAAATCTATGTTGTGTTGGTTCAAATCCTGGTTATGGTTGTGTGTACCAGGGGGTGTGGTGGAACGCCAAGGTGAGGATCCGTCCGAGCCATCCACCTGCGGCCTCCCTCGTCTCCGGTCTTCTTGACTCTGTCTTGACACCGGGCCCTGGCGGAGGAGGAGGAGAGAGTGTAGGTAGATGCAGCGCAAGTCTACCCGCACTATAAACCCCTGCGCAAGTCACCGTCCCTGCTCCCACCTGGTGTGGGGCACACGGTGGACATCGTCGAAATCGACGGTCGAACTGTCATGTATTGATGGGGGGAACGTGTGGAGGTGTGGTCTAGGCTGCGGTGACCGAGTAGGCCTATGCGATGGCTGGATTTTAAAGGGCAATGCGGACAGTTGAGGCAACGGCGTCTGGTGCATGTTGGTGCTCCATGCACTGCTTCGCCAGTCTCTGTGAGATGGATTCACAAGTGACTCACCAGGCCGATATGTGACGTACATGTAAGGTGTCAGTGTAGGCAGAATAGGTTGGAGGTGCTGAGTCGGGTGGGGTTGTGGTGCTGTTAATGGTAACCGCGCTGGTAGATGAGGAGTTGGTAGAGACGAGGATGAGAGTCATTGGGTGTGCAAGGTATGCCAGGTGTGCCGATATTGCGGTGAATTTCACTGTTGTGGATAGGCATGCGGCGGAATAGTCTCACGCGGTGAATGAATGTCCGTGGACAGTGTGGACAGTGGAGGGGGATGCGACGAGTTTATGTGGGGGCTCCTGGAACTGGTGTGTTAGTTGCAATGCGGTGGGCCCGCAAGTGGTCGACCAGGCTGATGCGTGAGACGAGTGTGCGACTGCAATGAGGACAGGTTGGGGCTGAGTCTACATAGTTATTGGGGGCGAGGATAGTAGGGTTAGCGGTTGGCGAGGCGTTGAGTGTTCTCATCGTTGTCCGGAATGGGAGAGCTAGTAGTCATCGCCGTCGTCGCGGCGGCTGTGGCAGGAATGATGGAGGTGGCAGCGATCGACAGCGGTGGCGCATCAGGAGTGCGATCATCGGTGGTGAGGGAAGTCGTCGTCGTGGACGCCGAGGTGGTTGGCGCAGGAGTGGTCATGGAGGCGGTTGTGGAAACAACAGTTGACATTGATTGGTTCTTGTCGTAAGAGTTCAATTCACGCGCGGAATCCTCGTTGACAGCGTGGGATAGTTGGAAGAGGTTGGGTGTTAGCGTTGTGAATCAGGCGCGCCCGAGACTTGCGGGCCACTCCCTTGGTTTTTGCGGCAGATATCCGGTTGGCTCCATAGATTGTTGCTGCGGCCATCGCCGCTCTTTCCAGATTGATCGGTTCTGGGTGAAGTCCTACTAGGTCTCGGGGTTGGTCTGGAAGCAATTCAGAGAATTTGAAGGATGTCCTTGTGGCGACGTATTTGACGAGTGTCCGTAGTGAAATCTCCTTATAAGAGTCGTTTGAGTAGTCGCTCATCGTCCGTCCTCACTAACTGGCCACTCAATCTCCGTTATTGTTGCTTCAGTATGACACGGATGCTGAGGAGTCCGATCCGCTCCAAAACTGCCGTGTTCGGGATCCTGGCCTACCACCTCAACCTTTGGATTCTGCGAAGACAGCTGAAATGGAAGTGATTGAATTTCCACGCTTGTTTTACGTAGATTGTCCAGGTCTCCACGCCATACAGTTAAGTTGTCAAGATGACCGCTTTGAAAATCTTCAGTTCGGTGTTCAGGTGAAAACTGTGGCAATTCCATACTGCGTTCTGCAGTCGATGGAAGACCTGGCTGGCATCGTCGATTTTGATGCTGCGGGAGTGTGCTGCCTAAGTAGGTGGAGTTGCGCATGACAGTTTTCAGTTGGATATCATTGACGTCGATCGTGGAAGATCTGATGTAGCGTCGGACTGTAGTTGATGCATGACAACCACCTTTTCCGTGTTGAGCATCAGCCCAAAGTTGCGGCAGCTGGGAGCGAAAAGGTCCATGCTCGGTTGCATATCAGCGTCTGTCGCGGCGTTGACCGACATCTCTATGCAACAAGTGTCTCCGAAAAACGCACGCCATCCACTTTGTGAGGACTGGCATGGCAGAGTAGCGTCGAGTGCCAGATCATGCACATTCCACTTAGGTGGGGGGCACGTCCTGTAGTGTATCCTGTCAGGTGAAGTGGAGACCGGGTCGCGTGCAGTACACATGCACGGACTGCATAGTTTTGCTGATCACTGTGGCTAATCCCATTTCTAGTCTGTTTAACTCGGACAAGTCACTGATAAATGAGCAAGAGGATAGGAAGTGAGGCCAGAAGTGGTAAATCCATCCTCACGGAACATCATTGCGTTAACCACCATAATAACTCTTACGTGCTTCAATCTATCGCAACGCGTAGACCGGTTTTTTAGCCTTGTCGGCCACTGCGCCGTATGCAAGGGACTTTATCTTGCCATCGGAATATGCGGAGAGAGAAGGTAGTACGACAGATGCTGCCCCAGTCTGACTCACTATAAACTAGTTGACGGGCAAGTCACTACTGTTGTGGCCGGCTCACGAGACAGTGGAGGAAGTCGTAGCTTACGACGATTGTACTGTCGACGGATTTCATAATATTAGTAATAACATGAGTGGCAGTGCTGGTTGAAGTAGTAGTAGTAGTAGTAGTAGTAGTAGTAGTAGTAGTAGTAGTAGTTGCGCCTCTAGAGCGGCACCAACCATCGTCCCCCCGCCTGCCTCTCCCTCCTCCTCTCCGCCGCCAACTAACCCACCACTTCCATCATCCTCCTCCTCCTCCTCCTCCTCGCCCACTGCTCCAACGGCGGCCGCTCAGGCGACTGTCCCACGCACAGCAACCGACACTACCACAACCTTCCCCGACTCCAGGGATGAGGATCAGGACTACACCTGCCCTCACTGCGACCGTACTTTCACTTCACACATCGGCCTGGTCGGTCACTTGCGAATCCATCGCACAGAGCCTGGCGAACCAGTGCCTGGAGCACTAACCTACACCCACCGCACTCGCCTCCACTGCCCACACTGCCCTCGCACCTTCACGCATCGCATGGGCCTTT